ACAGCCCCTTTTAAAATGCTCATGGAGAATTTCTAGGGTCCCGGATTTATTATTTATTATTAGGGGGATTTATTAATATGAGGAAGAGATTAAATCGTATATGATATTGCTGAGCTCTCATCAAGCAAAAATAACACGTAGCATATAGATTCTGAAAGATTTTATGGTCTCCGCCCCGGATCTTCATGTTGCAATAGTAGCCCGATATCTTGGGAGATTTTTGATCGCGCGACCCCTTCATCGTGCGGCCCCCGCATCCAGCCCGTTCTTTCCGCCTCATTTATTTTTCTTGGGCTATCTACGCGGCGGCTCGGGGGAGCGCATAAATCTCTGGGAACAGATACGGCCAACCTAGAAATTCTGAAAGATTTTGGTTCTCCGTCCCGGGTCTACGCGCTCCTCCGAACAGCCGTTCCGACAACCAAAGCAACATAAATCACGTGGAATATATAAAATCGCACATGAATCCCGACGAACAATCAGTATATAAGACCGCACGTGACCAAAAACGACCAACCTAATAGATTCGGAAAGATTTTGGATCTCTGCCCCGGATCTACACCGAGCCGCCGCGCAGACAGCCGAAGAGAGAGAGAAATGGTTCGAAATCTCGGAAGATTTCGGGTCGCGGCCCTCGCATCCAGCCCGGTCTTTCCGCTTCATTATTCTCTCTTGGGCAATGCGCATAAATCCTCGTAAACAGATACGGCCAACCTATGAATTCTAAAAGATTTTGCTTCTCCGTCCTGGGTCTATGCGCTCCGCCGAGCAGCCGCGCAGACAGCCAAAGAGAGATAAATCACGGAGAAAACCGCTCCGGAGGAAAGGGCCGCGCGACCAAAAATCTCCGAGATTTTTGGTCGCTCGGCCCGCGCCGATTTTAGAGCCGCCTGGGAGCCCGCAGGAGGCATTTTAAAGGCAAACCGGAAAACCTAGGCCGCGCTCGAGCAAAATGAACGCAAGTAGCCGCGCCGTACTATTGAGGTATTTGATGATAAAGATACTTCGAGAAAATCCAAGTTCAGCTCTCAGCCAACATTGGGGCAGGGTTTCAAAAAGATTTGGATTGAGGACCAAGGATTCAATCGATTGGATTCATAATTGCTTCATTAGAAAGGATTCAGATATCTGGATTTGCCATTATGAGGTTGGCTAGATAAGCATATCCAGTGCTCCTCCGTCGAAAAATTCAAGTTTAACAAGCTCAATAATTGAGAAATTTGGTTCCCGTCATTTCCCGTCATACTCTCTAAGCCCAAAACCCCACACTCTAAGCCGCGAACCCCAAACTCTAAACCCTCTTTTTCTTCGCAGCCCAGGTCAAATGAATTCGCAGACATCGGTCAAGGGTATCTCCAACCTGGGCAGAGATGTTGGAGCTGAAGGTACCCTACTCGATCTGAACTACTTGTAAATTCGCTTATCAGCCGTAAAATGCCAATTTCATTGCCCATCAAGCATTCCCAGCCTAAACCCTTGAACAACAAACCCTAAACCCTAAATAGTAGATTCAATTTTCTTGTCCATTATCCTCATACAACCCCTAAACCCTAAATAGTAGCTTCCATTTTCTTTTCCATAATCCTCATACAACCCCTAAACCCTAAACCCTAAGCAGGAGGAGGAGGCTCCTCTCCCATGACTGAGCGGCGAACTCCTTCTGCGCTTGACCGCGGCCTAAACGAATTGTGGCAAGCTTCCGACCTGGGATGCTGATGACAAGGGTTAAGGGTTTAGGGTTTAGGGGTTTAGGGTTTAGGGGGTTTAGGCTTTAGGGTTTAGGTATTACCAAGTGGTTTCGTGTGTAGGTTAACTGAAGGAATTTAGGGTTTACTGTGTTTGTGGTTTGGGCCGAAGGCTCTAAGACTGAAGACTCCCGATTTCATGGCCAGGCTGGAAAATCAAGTCCATACATCTGCACACCCAGCCCTGTCATTGGAGAAGACCAGACTGCCTAAGCCCCCCAAACACACCCTAGAATTTAACTACAAGAGCCCAAGCCCCAAACTCTATCATCTGAGATTCGCGGGAGCTTCACGCTGGACTCTGAAACATAAGTCTCACTAGCCTCTGGCATCAAACTGTACTACCACAAATCCTGAACATCCTAGATCTCCATACTGTCTTCCTGCAAGTAGCGAGTCTGGTGGAGCTAAAACATCATAGGAAACCAAAGCTCCTTCGAATTCTAACGACAACAGAAGATGTGGTGTCATCAACAAATGGAACAACACCGCTCCAGGGCTGCTGCGCGTGTTCTGCGAGACCAATTCAGCGATGACGCCTCGAACTGAATTATGAACATCTGCACCAACATTGGCAAAAGTCGGAGTAGTAGAAGTAATCACGACAGCAGAACTAATGTTGATGTCGGGCTTATAGCGGCTAAGAGTAAGTGACAGGGTCCCGTTTTGGGGTTTTGCGGATGGAAGTTCGGAAGTTACGGTGTAGAGTTTCAGTAACAGCTAATGCTGAGTGGTGCGCAAAAAATGTATATGGAGATCTATGATACCAAGGACTTCTTTCAGATGTGTTTAAAGTTTAAGGTCTAGGGTTTGGGCACTCCCAAAATGATGCATCCTGTATATGGCGTCAATGGCGTCATTCACTTTCCTCTTTGGCGCAAACGAAGGACAGTGTTCTGTGAACCTGCCAACGTCCACCCCAAACAATAAAACTTTCCAAAATCACAGGTACTAGTCACTAGGTTCGAGCGGTGTGCGCACATTAGGAAGGACTAGTGTTATGCCTCGTGATTATCATAAACCATAGGGCATTACCCGGTTCTAGCTTGGGTTCTTTGCTACCTAGGATTCAACCCTCAACCTAAAACTAGGATTCAGGGAACCCTCGACTTGGCCAATGAAAGCAGAACCAAGGCGCCGCACGCCCGAAATCAATCATGGCATCGCTGTGTTTCGCCGGGGGGTTCGAGATAGATTCAAACAAAAGAGCTTAGGGTTTAGGGTTTAGGATATTGCGCCAGTCCGGATCAACTCTTCTGCCAACTGAGGGAGCGCAACTGCACCTGAGCTACCGCCCTCACCCCGTACCAGCCCTGCAATGCTTTACTGAATTTTTTGCAGAATTATAGCCTTAAAAAAGAGTCCCACGCATGACTGTTAATACGGTGAGGACAGTGGCCGAACTACACCACGTGAAGCTCCCAAGATTTGAAACCAAACACGCATTTAGGGTTCAGGGTTTAGGGCTCAGGGTTTAGGTCAAAGTATATGTCCCCATTATGATCATGCGGCAGGTTCCCATTTCGGTTAAGATTTTTCTGGAAGGGTATTCACAGTGGTCCCTCCTTCAAAGGACCTTGAGAACAACCCCCGAACCCCAAACCTGCTATACCTCATATCCCTATAAATCTCCCCATACCTCCCTCTAATTTATGTCCCTAAACCCTAAAGCCTATCCTTTTGTGCCCATTTTGCAACCGTAGAAATCCAGTTGCCTCGGTGGTCGCCCCGCACCACTTCGATCCGACTGCAGGTCTCGGACCTTTTTCAATGTCATCTTTCACTTTAGCGTTTGGGGTTTACCCGGTTCCTTAGCCTTACCCTCCCCCCCAACAACGGAATATCAACCGAAAAAGCAAACGGACAAGTAAATGGAAACTACTACATGATTTGGGGTTTAGGGTTCAGGGATTACTTCCCTCCGGCTAACAAGGACTGAAGGATTGAACTATCTTGGTCTTGGCCATGCTGTCGGGACTTCTATAAGGATTCATGCTTTCACTCTTTGCATACCCAAGGTAGGGCATTCAGTGTTGAGGTAATAAAAGTTCTGAGTTGGAATGAACCCTAAACCGTACGCCCTAATCCCCAAACCCAAAACCCTCATCCCTAAACCCTAATCCCTAAACCCTCATCCCTAAACTCTAATCCCCAAACTCTAACCCCCAAACCCTAAACCAGAAGGCCAACAGGATTAGGGAATGGTCTCATACTGCCAAGATCAGGCGGGGTTGGGGCGATTTCAACCTGGTTGTCAGTGGGGAATCCAAGGATGGATCCCCAAAGTAGTCCCTTTACTACAGTAGTTTCCGAGTTCTTCTGCAGTGCGTAATTCCCTACTAAGAACAGTTATCAGGTTTTGGGATCATAGGAAACCTAGAAGCCGAATTCCTGTACATAATGGGTTACGGCTTCTTTGTCCCTAAGCCCTGAACTCTGGAATAGCCAGGAAGTTACTACGCAAATACCTGGCCTAACAAAAGATCCTCATATCGTAGGATAAACGGTTTAAGGTTTTATTACCATTGCATAACAGGGACATTGTTGCTACAGTAGAAGGCGGTAGGTTCATTCTTGGGGGATAAAGCAGGATGAGCGTTTGAACCTCATTTGGGGTGCAGGAAAACAAGCCTGCACCGACCCTTGGCCTCAAAAAGCTCCATACTGCCACGCGATTTAGGGTCTAGGGCTGAGGGTGACGAGCCCATGAACCTCCGAGTAGAGTTTCCTGCGCGTTTTTTGATACACACTTACATCGGTATGCAGTCAAGCAGCACAAACGTCTGCAGCTGTGACTGCGGCACCATTTTCAACATCCTCCGAGAACATTTGCGACGTGAGTCGCCGATGCAGAAACTCAAGTAGCATAATTTGCCAGAAGAGTTTTAAGAAGGAAAGATTAGCAAAAAGAGGACACAGGATATCGCATGTTAGCCATTGAAGTCTACGATCGCCTTTGCCAGCTTCATAACTACGATTCTACCGCATAAGCCTAGTTCTTTCTTCATCCAAAGTGCCAGCTACAAGCCCAGAACCTATATGGGTTTCAGTGTTTAGAGTCCTGGCATTCACGCTACACCCTGTAGGGCTCCCCGTGGAAGATGCCACTTCGAGAACCAGGATCTAAACAACAAACTTCTTGCTTTAGGTTTTCGGCGCCACTTTTGCATATCTCTGGGTGTGTTGTATGAACTGCTTTAAAGATTTGAGCTAAAGTCTAAACTCCTAGTATTAATAACCCCTATAATACTCCCGCCTTCCAAGGAGTTTAGACTATAGCTTATTTCACTATGACCGCATCCGTGCAAGTACTCGTCCTGTCCGAGTCATCCAAGGCCTCAGCACAGACACACAGTTCCCCATAGCCCTAAACCCTAAACCCTAAACCCCAAATTAATTATACCAAGGAGCCATACATGTGGATTTTCTAAAATTAGGGGTCTTTTGGGGGGTCTTCACAGTACAGGGACTCAAAGCAGCTGATGTCAAGGAAGCTTTCAGTTCACAGACAGGCAAGATGGCCATCTGCTTCACAGAGGCACGTGCAGTATCGCATTCGCATGCGCCAAGGGTTATAATCCTTTGGTGTGTATCTTGGGTTCCCCCTATTTACGGAAACTCCCATCTAGGAGCACCAGGTATGACTGGATATCGGATCAAAGGAAGCTCAAAAACAACTGCTTTCTTGGGAGGCCGCGCAGGAAATTCCCGCGACTCTTTTCGGGGCAGCTGATTATAGAACTGACCCTACACCCTAAATCGTTCACTCCGAATCCTTCACCCCGAATCCCAACTCCTAACCTTTAAGATCTCAACCCTAAACAGCAGCGGGCCACATGGGCCAACTCTGAAAGCGAGGTCGGGGCAACGTCGACCGCTCCTCTTGCAGCATGACGTCCTCAACTTGCCAGCGTCCCCAACAGTTTTCAGTGTTCATGTGGTTTCCGAAGGTGAATGTATCCAATATTCATTCCTGCAATGCAGACAAACTCTATATACAAAGCCGCCGCAAGCTTGAAAAGCCTCATACGCTGGCAGAAAACATTTCTATTCATATTACTGAAATTCTCAGTGGGTTGTACTGGAGGGCTTCTCATAAACCTCCATTTGAACACCCCTGCTTCTGCTTCATGAATCACCGGGCCCAATACAGATTCAGTGTTGAGAGAGCTCGGGCTTTAGCTGAAGTCTTGCCAACCAAATCCTGTCTACAGGAGATGGGTCCCGGAAGTCGTCCTGCTAGAATCAACCTTGGCACCTCTAGCCCCAAAATCCGAACCTTGAACATCCCCGGATCATCTTCCACGCGGGTCCATGTCACCGTATGCAGCGTACACTGTTTTATACTTGGGCACAATGTATTGATATGGGATCACCTTACCTTTGGGCTCTTTGTAAATGATAGCTTGTTCAAATTGTGGACCCGCATATTTATAGAGTACCACAAAAAAGGACCACAATTTGACAAACCTCTATGTACTATATGCCTACCGGGACCCTTTGGGTTTTCTGTCCAAGCATCGTCGAACGACCCCTGTCTTGAGATGGTGCATCTTCAGCCTCCAGCAGAATCAGAAGTATGGGAAGTATCGGTTAGATTTCCACCCGCTAGTAGGTTTGGGATTTAGGTGTTGTTTTTGTATGCGTGTGTGTGGGGGTGGGAGGCTTTTCTCCATGGCCGGCGTCTACAGGAGTGCTTGACAGCACTGTGATCAGCCAGCTGGGATTTAGGGTTAAGAATGTAACTATGGGTTTAGCGGCCGCCATTAAGAGTAGTATACCAGGAAAAGCCACATACATATAAACCTCAACATCAGTTGTATGTTCCTCTGGTGTTCACCGTCACCATTGGTGAGTGGGGCCTAACATGAAGTATGGGTTAGGTGGAGCTCCCACCCAATGTAGCGACTATAAGGGGTAATGGATTATATTAGGGTCCTGTTATATGCCTATTAGACCACTATGACCCTAAACTAAAGCACAGGGTGGGGTCCACCAAAAGTTTGGGTTCCTTCCAGGTGAGGATGGATTCTGAGCAGCTACAATCATGAATCCTGGGTAGGGTTTAGGGTGTAAGCCTTAGGGGTGGACAAGGCTTCCTTGGATACACAAAGCCCTGAACCCTGAACCCTCAAGCGCAGAGAAATAAAGCTTATATAGGGCAGTAGTTAAGACGGAAACTCGGACAACATTTTGCACAAAATTCGGTCGAAACTCAGGACCTAAAGAACCCTATACAACCCTTAGCCCCGTAACCCTAATCCCTAAACCTGTAAGGGCTGCCGGGACTCAGCACCTGCGTTCCGACTCTATGAGGATGTCACATATGCGAGATAGGGATCGCAACATCCTTAGGGTTTAAGCTTTAGGTAGGCTATGTGACCACATATGTAATGGGTGCTGCACGGATGACACAGCTTTGGTTGCCACCATAGAGAGCGGGCGGAATTGCTAGTGACCCTCACAAAGGTCACAACTGCTCACAGCAGCCTGGTGCTGAACTATGACTAGTGCCTGCTCCTTAAGTCCCATTATTTTCACAACCTTGCAAGCAACCTCACAGGCAACGAGATCAAGGAGGTGGAGAAGTATTTGGGATTCATGCAGTCACGCAATGGTACGTCCTGCAAGGACGTAACGGAGAAGCTTAGCAAGGCGCGCAAGGACTTCAATACTCTTACAGTAACCACTTTGAGCGACACGCAGGGCTCTCGATCCACTGGAAGCTCCGCATTTACAAGCGGTCTCTGCGCCCATGCAGATTTAAGGAATAGCGTCCGCGGTGCTCACCACCACCCCTCACACACTACATTCATAGGGCACGGTTGAAGCTGTTCAACCACGTTTTGAGGGCACCGGCCAAGTGTTTAGAAGAGGACTATTGTTTCACGAATGCTTTTCATTGTAGGGGAGGGGAAGTAGGAGGAGGACTTAGACGGGGATGGCCTAGAATGCACAGGATCTCCCAAACCCTCCTAGCCTACCTAAATTCCCGCAATTCCGTCGTCATTTAAATGGAGCCGGCTAGCAGGGCTGCCCATGTACGGGAAGTACCTTACGCAAACCTGCTACATCTCATTCTCACAGTAATCACAGTAATCACATCACAGTGAGTGTAGAGGAGCTTGAAGTGCAGATGCATAGGGCTGCCCACATGGGCACTGCAAGTTTGGGCAAATGATTAGCACATGTTTCTGTACCGGAGTTGGGATGCTAACAGGGGAGGGCCGCCACAGAACGTGGGAATTTCCCAAGGCAGGTTCCTCCTCTTTATGCACCTTAAAAGCAATTAGAAACAGAGAATAAACCTCACCATAAATACTAGATGTGCAAAACGTCCAAGATTGTTGGAGTTGCCAATTGTCTTTCTGGCCCATCTTGGAGGTACCTTTGAATTCCTCATTTAGGGCAAATACCAAGGACGTTAGTCACACCCTGCGATGAACCCTTACTCAGGCTGCTGCGGCATACGTTGGTCGGCAAGGAAAGAGACTTGCAGTCTGTGCGGCAACTGGGTCTCGCACTCGCCAGTTTCGTTCACAACTCGTACTCGCATGCCTTTGCCTGCAGACCCCAACTGATAGAAGCAGCAGGAACGTGCAAAACATCTTAAGCGTTCCATACAAAACCAGGCCTGCCCAAAAGCGTCCAAGCGCCCATGTAACTACGGAACACTTACCCAGACTTATCCAAACCATAGAGAAATGCTTGCTACAGAAACCATGCTTTGTACTATTTATGTCGCTACAATGGACCCTTTGGATGTCACCTTGCTCAATCACGCGTGCAGGAATCCAAAATTGCGCGCAAAGAGCAGAACATGCCGAATACGTGACACACTTCTCCTGACAGAGCCCTCATCTGTTGAAAGGCCCTATATGACGGCGTCCCATTCGTAGTAGCCAAATCTCCCCCAAAGACAAGGAAACCAAAAAGCACCCGAATCAAAAGGATTCTCTGTTTGAGCCCATTTGAGCTACTGTCTAAACTCCTAGTATCCCCCTTAATAACCCCTGTAGTAGTCCCCTATATAATCCCCTATATAACCCCCCTTTAAGGAGTTTAGACTATAGCTTATTTGTGGACAGTCACAACTCTCAGACCTACTGGGATGGTTGGCAGGGAATGCCACATGACAGAAGCATCATCAGGGAATAACTAGTAACTAGTAATATTCAGGCAAATGGTTGGGTCCATTTCGATATTCTGCTATTCAGGCTTCTGTTTGACCCAAACTTGAACAAGAAGGTCCCACTTCTCTGGGGGCTGTGCTAGGCCAGAGGCTCTGCTCCTGGTCCTCTAAAGACTCGCGCTTGGGCGGCGCACCTTCACATCACAGAGCACCAAACGAATTGCAACAACTTGCATCAAAGACCCCATGTCGCCTGTCTTATTTACCACATCCTCCTGTTGGGTACCATTGAAAGGGTCTGTGTGTACAACCTTCATGGGAAAGGAACTTACCTGACTTCGTATTACGGGCCGGCCTTTAAGGTTTAGAGTATAGGGACAAAGGAAAGAAGGATTTCCAAAAGGGGGAATCTAAAGCATTCTGTTATGACTCCCATGATGTTGTTGGAATGAACCAGACAGGGTTAACGGAGATCAAGCGTATATACCCCATCATCTTTGCGTTCAGCCATCTGCTCTCGTGTTAAGCAGACACATCCCCCGGTTCTTAGTTGCGTGCTCCTGTTTTGGTTGTTTGTGTTTCGAGCTCGGATGCCTGGCCTTGCTGCAGGAGACCACCTGTGAGTTGGCCCATGAGGATTTCCGCAGTTGTATTGAAGATCAAACTCACCACACAATGCAAGCAGGGTGGCTAGAGGCAAATGGGGTTTGAAACCATTGGAGATTGGCTTTGGAGCCTCTATCATAAGGATTACAAGATACTGGGGTCTGTATTGCGGCCCCCATCTATGGAACCCCCAAACTGTCCAAACAGTGCTCACCTCGTCCCTCTTGACAGGCATAACTTGCCACAGACATGCGTACACCCTGGGTCCTGAACTTGCTGGTAGTTAGTAGGGAAGGGAGGCATGAGTGCGCAGGAGATAGTCGCTCTGCAATCCCTCATGGTCCCTTTTCCCGCTCCCTGCTAACTACCAGCAGGTAAACACACCAAAGCCCTGAGCCTTGTACCCAGGAGGGAAGGGCGGGAGTTGCATCACAGCGTACCCATTATGGTATACTATAGTATAATATCTTATAGTATATCATAATATAGTATTTATTTAAAGCTCGCCCTAAATGCGCTTTCCCCAGGAACCTTTGGAGTCGTCGCCGATTGCGACTTTCAGAGCCTGCAGGAGGAAGTCGTTGGTATTTCGTTTAAGGGTTAAGGTTTAGGGTTTAGGGTTTAGGGGGGTTTAAGGATTAGGGTTTAGGGCCATGGGGGGGGGCTGTTGGGGATCCTATGATCAGGGAGTTTTTCAGGGTACCCTTGGGTCCCTAAATCATGGAACATGGTCCTTCATCAGGGTGTTTGGGACCCAAAACCTTGGGCTACAAACATTAAGGGTACAAACTTAAAGTCTCTGATATGACCTGGGAAGTTAGGAGGATATGAGCCATAGTCTAAACTCCTAGTATCCCCCTTAATAACCCCTATAGTAGTGCCCTATATAATCAAACCCTAAACCCTAAAACCCTAAACCCTAAACCTTTAGACTATAGTCCATATGAAGAGGGCTGCGGGCCCCTACAGAGGACCTTTTCGTGATCTCTGGCCCATGCTGCCACGCGGTTTAGTTAGGGTTTAGGGTTTAGGGTTTAGGGTTCATTGTTTACAATTTCAGGTGATGTACCCACCGCACTCACACTGAAGCCGAAGAATGCGGGTAGGAGAAGCTACATGGGGGATTGTCAAAATTATGGTCCCTTTTTGGGTCCCTATTAGAATACGGGGCCTAATTTAAGGGACC